TACATCTTTCTCTCTCCCTTCAATGCCTGCTCTGTTTCATTGGGTTTGCACACCTGTGTTGTGGTCTCTAAGCAAAAGACCCTGAAAAAAGGCTAATATAACTATCCAGAAGACTTCCTCAACATCCTATTTGGCAGCAAAGAAGTGTTTTCTAGTGAAATCTTTATTGATATTACTTACTCTTATTACAAAAAGTTTAGCATTGTCAGATCAGCATTTCCATCTATATTTTATAAATCAGTGAGATTCTTAACTGTTCTGAAGCTATTCGGCAGATGAAAAGAAATGAAGAAAGTGATCAGTATTCATTGTTCTAGTAAGTGGGTTTCTCTGCAAAAATTTGACTTTTTGATTACATATTTGGAAGGAGGGGGGAAGAGTAGGGGTGGGAAAGCTCACTGCTCCAAGCAACAATAAATATTCCTGCACAAGAACCCCAGGGGGAAAAAAGGCACGTACACATGAGAAAATTTGAAATATCATTGTGCTGTGCATTAGAGAACTTTCTGGAAAAAAACAACAACATTCTTCAGGGATTTTTCCTCTTACAGTGTAGATTAAAGTGATATGAATATGGGAAAGTAAAGCCAGCTCCTAATCTTCAGTATATTACTGGGGGGGGGGGGGGGGGGGGAGCGGGAGAGGGGATATAATGCTTTACTTTTTCTCCTGAAAAGATCCAGATGACTGGTAACTAAGATGCATTGCTATGCATCTGCTGGGGCTGGAAAACCATCACTTTGGGTTGTCATTTATGGAGGTCATTAAATAATCACCAGAGTAATTAAAAATGTTCTGGGATAGAAAACAACTAGCCCCAATACAAATTTGTCACCCAAACCAGCCTTTTCCATATCCAGGACTCAGAAAGAAATCCCATTCTATTTCCAGGCCCTTTTATTTATCCTCCCTTGAGCTCAGGTGAGCCAAGCAGCTCCTTGCCATCAGGGCTGCCTGGCTTTTCCACCCCCAGGCACTGTCCTCTTGCCCACAGCAAGTGCATGGCGGTCCCCCAGGGATGCATTGCCCCCAGCTACAACATGCACAGCAACTGCTGCTGCCACAGGGTACCTACCGCAGGTTGAGGCAGCAGCCCCTAAACACAACACAGAAACTACCCACAAAGCTAATCTCTGTCCAGACTGAAGATCAGGATTTCAAAACCAGTCAAGAAAGGCAGACAGTAAATAGCTCAGACGTTTCTCTCTAGCTCAAAAATACTCACCAGGGATTGCATTTATTTAAGTGTGTTAAATACTAGAGAGAGGAGAAATCAGCATTTCAGCAACAGGATTTGGCTAATCTCACTTTGAGATCAGCATTTTAGGTTTGACTAGGGTCAATCTGATCAAAGTAATTGGTCTCTGCTAGCTGACCAAAAATCCATGCAGAAGTTTGTGGTCTCAGTGCAGTAATTTGACACTAGAATAATTTGGCTGCATCAAGAAAGACAGCAAGAACTAAATTGGCAAGAATTAGAAACTAAAACACTGCCAACCAGGCCTCAAAAATTCTGCAGTGAGCTTCAAAACCTTCCCTGAGGTTTCCCTTCCCAGAGGAGAGAGTTGGTGTTTTATCACAATTCCAGTCCCCATCCTCAACTTCTTGCATGACGACTCCCATCAACCATTTCCATGTCAGCTCCTCCCATGGACATGAAACTCAGATGAAACATCTGAACTGTCAGCACCCCAGGAATCAAAGCAATCAGAATCACAGAGTGATTTGTGTTGAAAGGGGCCTTAAAGATCATCTAGTTCTGATTCCCCTGCCATGGGCAGGAACACTGTATCCAATAGTTAAAATATCGTGCTTTTCTTCTGTAACGAGTAGCGTCAGGAAACTCCAATGCTCATATCTGCAAGCATATCTGCTCTAAGCTTTCTAATATCCTATTAATTTTATTTTTAAATTGTACATACATAGATGCACACATATGTATATCAATATGGGTTTGCTTAGCAAAACAAAAAAAATTTAATATGTATATTCTTCCTTTTACAAGAAGTTCGATGACCAGCCCCCACTGTATGCCATATCCTTTACACCAGTTAGAACTGGGTCCTATGAAAAGCCAATATATTGAGATGCAATTAGCATCTCTGATTTTTCATACAGTCAAGAAGAGTCAAAAAACAGTGCATTCATATTGTATGTGCTTTCCTGAAGTCCATTTTTTTTTCCCCCTCTAACACCCATTTTCTAATAACAACAAAACAGTCAATCCTGAATTGCGCCCTGCAAAGGCAAATCACCCAAGTGGAACTATGCTGAAATCATAGAAACCACCTTTTGGAAATGTATATGACAGTCTCCACTGAACTGAGACCGTAGGTAGACCCAGATTAGATCCATTATAGAATCATGAGTTAATTAATTTGGTGGATTTAAAGTTAGTTAAATTACTATTTTTTCTCCTGGTATGCCAGTTCATTGATGATATCTATATATACAAACACCCTTATTCTTAGGTAAGTACTGTTAGTAGTACAGTGAAAGTTATTAGGTAAATATGTCTACTCCTACTGTTATGAAAGAAAGAGTAAAGAAACAAATGGTGTGATGCGTCTCTTTTTTTACGGTTACATTTTTAAACTAACCAGATAAAAAGAGGTATAGATGAATTAGTTAACTAGTTAATTGATATACACGTTTGCCTACAGTTTCCTCTCCAGAAGTATTTTGCTAATGATTAAATTTTAAAAGACCATCTCTTTCAAAAGGACAAGTGTTACACTGATAGAAGAAATAAACTGACATCTGAGATAACTCTTTTGTACAGAAAAAAATAAACACAAGCAAACAACTTATTTTCCTGATGCCAAATATAAAGGAAATCCAAACCTTGAGCCTTTAGTGAGGTATATCAAAGCAAGTGAGTAAAAAAGGAAGACTAATGCAGAGAACAGAAAGGTTTGTTGAAGAGAGGAACCATGGAGAAAATGGAATTCTGTTGAATCTTTGGAAACTGCTTCTACATATTTCTACACATGTTTTATCTTCTTTAATAACTATTTCACTGAGTCACTAAACTTGTGAACTGCAAGCACACCTAAAGAAACTACTAGAATTATATTCAAATTATACTTTTCTTTTTTTTTTTTTTTTTTAAAGTTATTATTCCACTTAAGGAATAATAACTTTTTCATTACAGTCACAAAGATTTTTATAAAAAATCCACCCTATCTCTATGACACATTGATTTTTCTTCATGAATAAAATAATGATTCTGGCTCTCAAGCTTTGTCAGAACAGTAGTCTTTAAAGGAACTAAGAAGTTCATACAGTCAATGTCTTTTGCGTTCCCTCAGAAAACTGAGAAACTGAAACAAACCAGAAGACCAATGTGCCTATTTCTAAGGAATTTCCCTCAGTGTATGCTTGCATGCTCAGAGGTCAAAATCACGTAATGAACAAAAACAATAAAAACATAAAATATCAATAAATAAAAACAAAAAATACACACATTTTATCTGTTTTAGGTTTTACTGCATATCTCCTTGTATTTTAATCCATTGGCCAAAGCTAAATATCTCTTGGTAAAGTTAGGCTTTATCTTTTGTTTTAAGAGGCAATAATCTCTGTGAACTGAAATCCCAGCTCCCCCTTAGAACTATGGAAGACAACTGAAGTTAAGACTGAAAATGTTCTAAGATTTTAAGAAACTAGTCTACTTAATATTGTCAGCCTAGGTCAGCCTAGTAAAATGCAAAGTACAAAAATAAAGAAGTCTACAGACACTAAGGCAGTGTTATATTATTTCAATTATATTAATGAAAAAAATTACAATATTAATCTCATTCTATAATTATGGAAACTGAGAGAAAAGGTATGTTTATCTAGTGCACACATATATATATAGTATTTATATTATTTATATTCAAATACATTTCATAATTGAAATGTGTAATTACAGCAGTTCCCAATGATCACCAAGAGAAAAAGGAGTTACCTTTTCTTGCTGTCAACTAGATGGGTGACTTAGAAGATGTAAAGAATCACCACACAGCTGGAAATCTGCAAGTTTTGTATGATGGTAAAAATGGTAAATCTTTCTCATAATAGCAAGCTTTCTGTCTGTGCCATGGAGCACTATTGATTGTTATCCAGTACATTGCAAGACAAAACACTTGGTAATAACTCACCAGAGCCATTGCCCAATAAAGTCAATGGAAAGAGTCATGATGATTTCCAATAGCGCTGGGCTGAGGCCACCAAGCATTAGATTTCACAATTCCTGCTTTTAAGAAACAGCCAAATTATCGGCCGGTGTAAATCAACTTGACTTCAGTGAAGTCAAGAAGCTATGTTGATTTAAAAGGAGTCAGTGACATTTATATTATGTCCTTCAAGGGGTTCTGTAGGGAATGAAATTCAATAATAACTTTCAGCCTTTTGCTCAACACGCCGGATGACAAGAGAGACACCACAAATTCTTCTTTTCATCCAGCTGTTTATAATAGGCATAAGTAAAATTACATCAAACCTGCCCTCTGAACTTCTACCTCTTCAGCACTGTTAAGTTTCCTGCATTTCATCATAATGTCAAATTTCAGAGCCTCATTACTATGGGATCTCAAGGAAGAGCAAGCAAAAACCTCTCCTTCTGTCTGTACTGGGGGACAAAGTCCCCTGTCCCAACTCACACCTTCTGCAGAAGTACATTTAAGCTAACCATAACAGTCTGGATTCATGTCTATACTATGTCAGATGGAAAATGATTTTCAAGTAGGAAATTAAGTTTATTTACCTGTTCTGTTCATTTGGAAATTTGGGAAACACGACTACAAGGTTTGTGAGCTGATGTCTCATCCAAGTGTTTATTTCAAGGCAAAAATATATTTTTGCCTTGAAAGCAACAGCCAGCTCACATCAAATGGATTATCAAAGCTGTATCTCCAAACTTCTGCAATATTTTTAACAAGAGTTTCTCCTACAACCATCCAGCACAATAAATACAATTTATCCATATATGTATATATATATAATTTTGCACTCACCTTCTTCTTCCACCATAAGGAAGTTGAAGACTACAAAGCAGCATCTCTTAACATTATGTTCCACGTAGAATATTTTCTAAAAGCAGTATAACATAATAAAACCAATATATAAAAGCAATTCATGAAATAACGAATAAAAAAAAAAAAAGAGTATTTAATTTTAGCTATCAACTCTGACCTCTGGTTTTCATATAAAATTTTTACCAGCATTTGAATCCAGACTCTCATTACTGATGTATTCACATGAAATTTATTTGATGAGCTATAGGTTTATCAGACTTTCTGCTTTGTATTTCCTGATGTAATGTTTACAAACTGACAATTTTAAAAGCCTATATTCTCTGAATTCCTTTATTAATCTGTTGGATGATGTTCATGCTTCATGCTTAGAGCATTCAAAATCAGCCCAGTACGTGCCATTTAGTCTTCAGGAAATAATATTTAGACTTAAAGAAATATTTTCTCATTGATCCACTTTTCATTCAGGAGTGATAATGACACAGACATAAAATTTTAAATTAATTTGTTTAATGATGCTTATATCATGAGCATCAGTGTGTAGGACAAGGCTTTTGCAATTCTGCATGGAGCTATTATTTAGAGATAAAAGTCATTTAAAATAATTTAAATGTAGGGTTAGAGAGAAAAAAAATAGGCTAAGATTAAATATTAATTTTACATTCCTGTCTTCCCACAGTCAGATGGACATGCTTTGCTATCGCTTCTTTACCAAACCAAATACCTGCTTTTATTAAATCTCATTCATATCCTGGTCTAAGAAATGGTAATGGAAATGGTCCTCCTTTCTTTTTTTGCCTCTCCTCTAACTTTATTAGTTGCATGACTTGATCCAATGTATACTTTTTCCTTATACTAATATGATAATGAAACAAATATAAGAGATTACTTATAAAATAATCCATAACAATTGGTGGAGTTATTCTCTGTTACTATTTGCTAAAACTATTTATTTTTACTATGTGTGTTTACACACATAGGCACACACACAGTGGAAGAACAAGAAAACAAGCCTGTGCCCATTGACACTATCTTTACTCTTTTTTTTTTTTTCCTTTTTTTTTTTTGTTCTCCACCTTTTTAGAGTCATTCTCTAGATGACTGTTCAGGTATGGTGTGTGAATGAGTAGCAAACAAATACATAATAGGTTTCTGAAAAGTAATAATAAATAATTATGCCTGTACCTACTCTGAAGATAAATAAAGGTGTCAAAAGCTGTCAGTTTATCTCCAGTAGTACTGTGGCTGTAATTTTAGAGCCATGCTACACTGAGCCAAATGCTTGAAAGGGAGACTTCGCAGAATAAACATCTCAGAAGCATCTGTTTTTACCGAACTTCAATAGACACAACTCATATGTGCACTGTCTACTAAATGCTGTATTTTTGCTGCAGATAGATTCAGAATCATTTAGGTTGGAAAAGACCACTAAGATTGTCTAAGTCCAACCTTAATGATAGTGCCTATCTGCACAGAACACAACTGGGGTTGCCGGAGATGCTCAGCACACGATTACAGAACCCAACATGCATGGGCAGCCATCAGAAGGGCTCTCCTGTACCCTCTGCTGTCCTCAACTCTCACAAAACCTCTCCAAAATTGAGTGTAATGAGCCTGTGATACCACAGTATCACAGAGCAGCAACTGGTTTAGGTATAACTGTTGCATCTGAAACTTTATTTTCACCTTAAGGGTCCTTGCAATCTGGCAGGTACCTGGTAATAAAGCCCCCAAATGGCATGTGACACCTCTGATACTAGTTACTTTTTGCATATTACAGACATAGCCTATGAATCATCTACTGAGTAATAGAAGGCTCAATAGGAAAACTGTATTTATGAAACCACTGAAATGAACATCTGTCTGTTCTTGTGTTACAAAGTACCCAGACATCTATCTTCTTTTCAAATCTCACAGGGAAAAATGTCAAAATCTATAGTATAAAATTAACAGTTTTGTATTTTGCACTGCTGGATAACAAAATCAAAATGAAACCAATGAATTCTAATTTTGGATACATACCTATTTTACCGTCTTTCCCATTATAGTCTTTTGACTGTTTTGTATCAGATTTCTCCTGATACAAAAATATGTTTCACATAAAAATCTACAGCAAAAGCACAGGTGGGATGCATACAAACAAAATCAGACACAGGTGTATTTTTCGTTATCTTTCCACCTAACTACTTCTTCAAACTTTTACTATGAAAAAAAAAAATGTTTTCTAAATCTGTTTTATCTGCTTTTATTTATCATTACAGTTATAAAATATTAATGTGTCATTTTACTCTGAAAAACACTATTTTAAAAAGCAAACTATTCCATGTTCATTAATATCTGAGCAGATGGGATGTGTTGCAACAGATTAGTATTGAATGTAAAAATAGTAGCACCACCTATTGGCAAAACACATAAACTGATCAATCAAATTTCATGCTAGCATTCATGTTACTGGATGTTAAGGTTTTGTTCTTTTTTTTCATTTTATTTTATTCAAAATGCACATATTTGTTAATATGGCTGCTTGATTTATCTTAGAGTATATCTAAAATGTACCAAACCCATGTATGAAACTGGAAAAGTAACCCAAATGTAACGCAGAAATTCTTAATGCCAGCATCAAATTTGGTCTGAATATATTTAAAGGATCTGAAATATATCTAAGCTGTGGATACTACATATTGACTAAAGCCCTGACCCTGAAATATTAGCCTCAAATTCCCCCCAAAATCTTGAAATGTCCCTTTGATTTTATTGGACTATATAAATGGGGTCCAAAAAATTATGTGGAGAAAAAGCATTCTAGCACTGGGGTGAGAAAACAGGATTTTCAAATACTTGTGCATATCAACACAGACAATTTATGAACTGACCCTGACAAATAGTTACCGTGATTCTGCTTAATACTGGGAGAGCAAAATTGCTGCAGAAAATAGATGGAATGAAAACAAAGAAAGCTTTAGTTTAGCTGAATATGTGAGGCTAGAAGTTGGGCAATGTTAATTTTTATCCAGATTACATTTAAACAAACTGTAAAAGTTAGTGTATAATTTCTTTCACTGTGCCTCTGTTTAGTTTTGGTTACTTGGGTTTGATTTCTCAGAATAATTCTAAATTAAATTCAACTTATAGGACAACTTTCTGAATATTTTTTTATTAATGCTATTATTTTCTGCAGGATTGATTTTTAGGGATTCTTTATTATATTTCTTTTCACAAATTTATATTATTTTACTTTTAAATGCTAAAAGCATTTGCCAGGAAAATTGGTTTGATCTATATATTACTATTGACCCTGCTATTTTCTTAAGTCTTCTTTCTCTAATGGTCTTGTTCATTATTATTCTTTACAGAACTAAGAGAGGCCTCGAGATTAACTCCCCTTGTCCTTATGGGGGACTTCAACCTGCCAGACGTTAACTGGGAGTGCCACACGGCTGACACGAGCAAGTCCAGGAGGTTCATGAAGCACCTAGATGATAACTTCTTGGTGCAGGTGCTAACGAAGCCAACTAGGAAAGGTGCCCTCCTAGACCTGTTGCTAGAAAACAGAGAGGGTCTGGTGGGAGATGTGGTGATTGGTGGCCGCCTCGGTCATAGCGACCATGAAGTGGTTGAGTTCAAAATTTACGGTGACAGAAGGAAAAGTGCCACCAAAACCTCATCCCTAGATATGGGGAAAGCGGACTTCAGGCTGCTCAGGGAACTAGTCAGCAAGGTCCCCTGGGAAACTGCTCTTGAAGGCCTCGATGTCCACCAGTGCTGGTCATTCTTTAAGCGATGCCTCCTAGAAGCACAAGATCAGGCAATTCCTAAATATCACAAGTCAGGCAGGCAGGGCAGGAGGCCGGCATGGCTGACCAGGAACATTCTGATGGAGACTAGGCGGAAACAGAGAGTGTTTCGCTACTGGAAGGAGGGCCGGGTGTCATGGAAAGAATACAGGGATGCTGTTCGTGTTTGTAGGAAGAAAATTCGTGTGGCTAAAGCACACCTAGAGTTGAAGCTGGCTGTGTCTGTGAGAGAAAATAAAAAGGGTTTTTTTAGATATGTGAATGGAAAAAGGAGAACTAAAGAATACATAGGGCCGCTCCTTGACAGGGAAGGACTCCTCACAGACAATGACACAGGCAAAGCAGAGACGCTTAACGCCTTCTTTGCCTCTGTCTTCAATGCCAATGATGGGCTTCGGGACCCAGGGTGCCCTGAGCTGGAGGACCGGGACGGTGGGGATGACAAACTCCCAACCGACCCTGAACGTGTGCGGGATTTGCTACTCCACCTGGATCCCTACAAGTCCATGTGCTGAAGCACCCTACAAGTCCGGGTGCTGAAAGAGCTGGCGGACATCATCGCGGAACCTCTCTCAATTATTTTTCAACGATCCTGGGAGTCTGGAGAGGTCCCGGTAGACTGGAAGCTGGCAAATGTTGTGCCGATTTTCAAGAAGGGTCAGAAAGAAGACCCTAGCAATTACAGCCCTGTCAGTCTCACGTCAGTGCCTGGTAAAATCATGGAGAAGATGGTTCTCGAACTTATTGAGGCGCACCTGGGGGACAAAGCAGTCATTGGTCCCAGCCAGCATGGGTTTGTGAAGGGTAGGTCCTGCCTAACTAACCTGATTTCCTTTTATGATAAGATCACCCGTATGGTGGACCAAGGGAAACCAGCTGATGTGATTTTTTTGGACTTCAGCAAGGATTTGACACGGCTTCCCATAGGATCCTACTGGACAAAATGTCCACCATACAGCTAAATAAAAACATCATACGATGGGTGAGCAATTGGCTAACGGGCAGGGCCCAAAGGGTTATGGTAAATGGGGCTGCGTCAGGCTGGCGGGCGGTCACCAGTGGGGTCCCTCAAGGCTCCATTTTAGGGCCGGTACTTTTCAATATGTTTATAAACGATCTGGATGTAGGAATAGAAGGCATTTTGAGCAAGTTTGCTGATGACACCAAACTTGGAGGAGTTGTGGACTCTGTTGAGGGTGGAAAGGCCTTGGAGAGGGATCTGGATAGGTTGGAGAGATGGGCAATCACCAACCGCATGAAGTTC